TGGGCCTTACTGAGGACTGGGCAGGTGTCCTTTCTCATCTGGTTATTCCTGAGGGATAAGCCGAGTCAAAACAGGCAAAGACAAACCTACAGCCCACTTATAGTACAATGGGAGAAAGGAAGGGTACGAAAGAGATTGGTCAACCAACCACCAGTTGTAATGCAAACATTGTTACGGCTATTTAACTGTTAGCCATACTATTGTACCATAGTCCTCTCCCTTCAGCACAGGAAATACATGCTGATAGCTGCCAGCCATCATACCCCTGCTGGGTGCCAGGCCCTCCCCACAGGACTTTACAAACATTTTCTAATTTAAAGCTCCCAACGGTCTCTAAGGTAGACACAATGTCTTGTGATTAGATGGAAATGAAACATATACCAGTAGATGGTAAATAACTTGTCCAGGATCACAGAGCTAGCATGTGAGAGCGGGGGATCCAGGATTCAAACCCAGATCTGTTTACGTTTTTGGCCCAAATCCCCAAATAGGTGATAGTGATCATTGCTCTTTACCCTATTTATTTTTTAACCTATATATTTTTTTCTTGCTAAATCTGAGTCAATTCTTTGCTCAACAAGAGGCAGAGTAATACAAACTCAAAGTTTTCATAAAAGTTTTATTTCCATTTTCTGAAAACTAGCTGGTTGTTATGGTTGTTGATGGGTTGTCTGGTTTTTTAAATTTCTATGTAAGTCTAATTTAGGAAAGTAAGTATGCATCTAATATTCAGGCACTTTGGTTTTAGGTTTGGAGGTGGGTGCTAGGGAAAATATTGCATCAAAAACTTAGAATGAATATACGAAGGTTGGAATCTCCCCTCATTCCCATTGATTCCCTGACTTTGACATATACATGATTTTCTGCCTCCTGCTCCTCGCCCCCTCAAACTGTGGGTCTGCTTTATTCCTTAGGGTAACTATACATATCTTTATTCAATTACAATTCAAACTGTTTATGTTTTTATTATTATTATTTGTTTTTGTTGTATTCTGCTTTTCTACAGATAAATCTCTTCTCCCAGAGTTTTGCAAGTGATATTACTCAATAAACTCCTGGATTTAGAATAAATGGGAATGCAAATTGCAAGTCTTCCTATGGTTCTTTCATTCTGAGCACCAAACATTTGAGTGGAGTCACAAAAAGAACATCCTGCTCATTTTGCGATTCTTTAGATTTTCAAAAGATGCAACTTTTTAAAGAAAATTAAAGGAATCTGGATGTAGTTGTATCAAATCACAGTTGAGTTGTTTTATAGAGTGCCAGCTTCCTTCATCTCCACTGTTTAGTTGCCAATGTATGTCTTATCTCTTATAAAAGTTCACCTCTTAACCTAAAGTTTTAAGAAAATACTAGAAATGCAATCCTGGGAGACCTAACTCAATTAAAAACATACAAGTACAGAAGGAAGTTAATTTGGATATGTATTACTTGCTGCAGTTGGAATCTTGATTCTTTCCTCCTTGTCCTCCTCTTCCTCCTCTTCTTCATCATCATCATTTCTCCAGCCACTCTTACTTTCTTTAGTATATATTGTGCTAATATAAATAACCTGCTTCCAAGAATAATTCTAGTCATTTCTTGAGCAGATCTGTGAGTGAGTGTGTGTGTGTGTGTGTGTGTGTGTGTGTGTGTGTGTGTGTAAGTAATTACTTATATAAAACCCTTGGGCAAGGCCAAAATTCTGCACCAGTGAAACAAGGTTATGAATGGAAGACCCTTGCACAAATTAATTTAATTCAGAATTACCTCTGGAATTGCAGACTCTATATTGAAACTGCATGTACTACTTACTTACCTTACCAGTCTTTTGGATTCAGTCAGATATTCTCAGATTTTGCCTACATCCATTTTTTTTTCTATGTGGGGATAAGAAAAGGGAGGTGAGTTACCCTCACTCCACCCCCCATTCCTTGGGAAACCAGGCAGCCTGACCGCACAGCTCCCCAGCTCATCCAATTTTGATTTATCACTTTACCAAGATAGGAACACACGTGTGTGTGTGTGTGTGTGTGTGTGTGTTTAAGTATCAGACAATTCCTCTAGAAAAATAACAACAAAAATGCTTAATTAACTTGAACATTATTGACTGTGTTTGGGCTAGCTTCAAAGAGAACATTCAACTAAATAATTTTCCTACCAGTTATATTACTCGAGTCATATGTCCCTTTTTCAAATACAACTTTTTAGTTATATAAATATTCTAATATCTTTCCTCTTGGAAACATTCCCCGTGGTTTTGCCCCCCGGGTATGTTTTATGTTTGAGGATTAAATCTTGAGGAAATGGAGATCTTTATTGAAAATGTTGACATAATTTAATCCACAAGAGAAAAGAATGAATGAGAGCAAAGTGAGTAGTGCTTTTTTAATATGGAAAGTTTAAAGTCTAAAGTGAACGATTTATGAACAGAGCTTGTCAGGTATCACTGGAATTGACATACAAAAAAAATCAGAAATTATAGTAAATTTATGAGATTTATAGAAGAGATTTAAGAACGGGAAAAGAAAATATTATATCCAAAAGTTCAATTATTTTCTGTGAAAATTTTCCACTCCAATCAATTTATTGAACAAAGGACTTGTTCTTTTAGGCACTGCTGTAAGTTTTATACTTTCTTAGGTTTGCATTTGTAAAGCCAATAAGGCAGCATTTGTCAGAAAATGACTGTGTCATGGAAGATGAGTCCGAGTCTCTGGCACCACTTGGGCTGAGCTCCTAGCACGCATCCAGGTGGCACAATTCCTGCAGCCGTGTGAGCCCCCTGGGTGTGGGACTCGAATGGAAAATCTGTGCTGCTAAATGTTCCTTCGAGTCAACCAGAGACTTACAAGGAGAGCTCCTTTGAAAGACTAGTTCAGTTATTTATTAGCACTCTCAGAGTATAGTGTCAGCCAAGATAGTATTTGAAATTAATATACTATTTGATTAGACTGATTGATTGTTCCTGTAGCTGAAGATTTTAACATTCATTAGCCATCCCAGCCAGTCATTAGTATTGCCGTTATCAGCAAGCGAAGAATAAACAGAAATTCTAATAAAAATTCATCACAGCGAATGGACTCCATACCTAAGTGAGTGTGATGAGTGCGGTGGGCTAGATTAACTGCTGTAGCATTGGCATCGGGAAAGATTTCTGTAATAAAATTTAAAAATATCCCTTAATTAATGTTTACTTTGTAACTGGACTCTTTTAAACTTAAGTAGGCTATACAGATAATCTCTTACATATCCAGTATAATAAAGTGCTAATGGGTGTTTTATACTTCATGTGTCTGTGTGGTATCCCCTAACTATTAGTTTCAGGAGGATTGAGGACTTAGGAAAGTTCTGCTGATGTTTTGCTGTGAGGCCTTTTCCCCACTCTGAGGAGCAGAGCACTAGGCCCATGTTTTTCAACCAGGTTGGTAGAGTAAATCTGAATTGTAATGCAAATGTGCTGACCTGTTACACATTGTGACACCTCCCTTTACCTACCCTGTCATGAATCTCCAGTGGTTTTAAGGGCAAATGGAAAGGAGCATGAGGAGGAGAGAAGGAGGTAGGCAGGGAGAACCCTTTATGAATTGACTCAAGGCCACTCCAGAGCAAGTGTGTGCGCACTGAGAATTATAACTACCTGTACTGACTGCCCCCTCAGCCCTTCACATGCAGTAGCTCATTTAGTGCTCAGAATTATATCTTGAAAGATAGTGCCAGCCCCCTTTAAAAAGTGATGTGAGGAGACTGGTGCTCAGATAAGTTAGCAAACTGCCCACGGCCAGGCAGATCTGCAACAAAATCAGCACTTCGCCTCTCTGCACAGTGCCAGGGCCATGCTCACCTGCCTGGCTACCTGCGCAAGCACAAGCTGAACTGCCAAGCTCTGTTTGAGTTTCTGTCTGTCATTGAACCTGTCAGGGCCTGCCGCACCTGTCTCACCTCCCTTGGCTCTGGCATGAATCCAGACAGCTGGACAGAAAGTGAGGATGGTGAAGGCTTCAGGACAGAGTCTAAGAGTCAGTTCAGTGACTCCTGTGTCGCAGAATGTGTCAAGCTCTACCTAAACAGGGTTAAAACCAGGAAGTCCAAGCCAAGATGCAGGGTCCAGCTGTGCAGGCAGAGAGGAGCATAAGAGAATCTGGGCGACTGCATCCTTGGGAGTCAGGAAAGTCTCCCAGGTGGTTGTTATTCTAGGGCTGGAGGAGGGCTAGAGGGGAGGTTCCTGCCTGTAAGAAATAGGAACGGGACTGAACATAGGGAAAAAAGTCAACAAGCGGAATCTCTGCCAGAGAGAGACGGGGAAGAGAGGACTGAGAGAACTGTGATTAAGGCACTGCCCTGGATTCCTGGTGCCCGAGACTCAGGATCCAGGAAGATGGGGGTGAGGAAACCAGCCCAGTGTTGTTCATCTTGGGTCTGATTGGGAGCAGGGCCAAATTCTAAAGAGGTGTTGCCCTGAAAGGGACAGAAGACACCCCAGAGCATCTGGAACATGAGTGGCTCCACAGGTTGCTACGACTTGATTCTATTTCCCAGGCAAAACCTGCTTCCAGTGGAGAGCCCGGGTACAGAGGCCAGAGGGCTGCACCCTGTGTGGCTGCAGAGAAGCCTGCAGATGGACTGCAGAACCTTGACAGCATCAGAGCAAGCACGCCTCCTGAGGACATGTCAGAGGCTCTACTCCTTTTAACCTTCTTTTACCCAACAGTTTTATCCTCACACAATCTAAGGTTAAAGATGTAGAAGAATCAATAGGGAATGGTTAATTCCATAAATTACAACTTGACTATAATAATCTTACATTTTAATCTATGTTATTGCCTCCGGTGACAAATTACTATTGATAGAACAGCCTATTTCAATAATTTTGGATGTTATTCCAGAGAGGAATAGAGCTGATAATTATGCTATCTTTCAAATCTATGCTTGGAGCAAATTTCTTTCTTGAGAGATTTTGAATGGATAAAATGTTCATGTTTATGTTTCCTAATTCTTCTTCCTTTCCTCTGCCTACACAGGAGACTCTGAATGTGATTGATCCTGGCTTGATGGACCTAACTGGGACCAGCGAGGATGCCCTGGAATGGGATGAAACTGATATAAGTAACAAATTAATTAGTTTGAATGAAGACTCAAATGACCTCAATCAAGAACCCCAACCTGTCATGCCTTCCTCAAAACCTGAAGAGACAGGTAGTGAGGACCCTGGCTATGAAGAAGAGGCAGGTGACCGTGGGGGATCTCAGTATGCCTCAAGTATTACTGCCCCCTCTAGTCCCCACATTTACCAAGTATACAGCCTCCACAATGTGGAACTCTATGATGACAACCACATGCCATTCCTGAAAAACAATCCAATGCTCACCAGCATGACACAGCCTAGTGTTTTGACTAAGAGTCTTAGTAAAGACTCCTCATTCTCATCCACCAAATCTTTGCCAGATCTTCTAGGGGGTTCCAATTTGGTGAAGCCCTTCCCGTGCCATGGAGGAGACATGAGCCAGAATTCAGGCAGTGAGAGTGGAATAGTCAGTGAAGGAGACACTGACACCACTACCAACTCTGAAATGTGTTTGCTCAACATGGTAGATGGGTCCCCTAGTAACCCTGAACCTGAACATCTGGAACCACAAATGGGAGATGCCATTAACATGTTAAAGCAAAAATTTAAAGATGAGGAGGAAGCCATTAAGCTTCCAAATAGCTCTCAGTCATCCATTTTACCAGTGGGTTGTGTAAATGGAAAAGCTGGAGATTTAAACAGTGTTACCAAACATACCCCTGATTGTTTGGGAGAAGAATTACAAGGAAAGCATGATGTGTTTACATTTTATGATTACTCATACCTCCAAGGCTCAAAACTCAAATTACCAGTGATAATGAAACAGTCACAAAGCGAAAAGGCATATGTAGAGGATCCCCTGCTCCATGGCTTTTATTTTGATAAAAAGTCCTGCAAATCTAAACATCAAGCTACAGAGTTACAACCGGATGCACCTCCCCATGAAAGGATTTTGGCAAGTGCATCCCATGAAATGGATCACAATTCATATAAAAGTAGTGATATGGAGAAGACACTCACTGGCATGCAGAATGCCAAGCAGCGCTCCCTTCTATCTCGTAGTTCATCTGTTGAGTCCCTTTCTCCAGTGGGTGATTTATTTGGACTGGGTATCTTTAAAAATGGCAGTGACAGCCTCCAGCGAAGCACTTCTCTAGAAAGTTGGTTGACATCCTATAAAAGCAATGAAGATCTTTTTAGCTGTCACAGCTCTGGGGACATAAGCGTGAGCAGTGGCTCAGTTGGAGAACTGAGTAAAAGGACATTAGATCTTCTGAATCGTTTGGAGAATATCCAGAGTCCCTCAGAGCAAAAGATAAAGCGGAGTGTTTCCGATATCACTCTCCAAAGCAGTTCCCAAAAGATGTCTTTTACTGGCCAGCTGTCACTGGACATAGCATCTTCCATCAATGAAGACTCGCCAGCATCTCTTACAGAGCTTAGCAGCAGTGATGAGCTCTCTCTTTGCTCAGAGGATATTGTGTTACACAAGAACAAGATCCCAGAATCAAATGCATCATTCAGGAAGCGCCTGACTCATTCAGTGGCTGATGAAAGCGACGTCAATGTCAGCATGATCGTTAATGTCTCTTGCACCTCTGCTTGCACTGATGATGAAGATGACAGTGACCTCCTCTCCAGCTCTACCCTCACCTTGACAGAAGAAGAGCTGTGCCTCAAAGATGAGGATGATGACTCCAGTATTGCAACAGACGATGAAATTTATGAAGAGTGCAACTTGATGTCAGGGCTGGACTATATAAAGAATGAGCTGCATACCTGGATTAGGCCAAAGCTTTCCTTGACTAGAGATAAGAGAAGGTGTCATCCCAGTGAAGAAATAAGGGGCGGTAAGGATATAAGTAGTACTGAGATGACCAATTCCTCTGATACCCTCAGCATTAAGGCCCTTCTAAATGGCTCCATAAAACATCTCTCTGAAAATAATGGAAACAGTAAGAATTTACCCCACACCCATGAGTTAGGAACACAGGGTGAAAATAAGAAAAATATTTTCAAAGTCACTAAAGATCCATATGTGGCTGATGTGGAAAATGGCAATGTCGAAAGTACTCCAGAGAGACAGAAGGACAAACTTACTGAGATTTCACAGGAACCGGAGAATATTGGTTCAGCCAGGAAGAGGATTTCAGAGAGGGAGCATGGTAAGTGCGAAGCAGCTGTGCATAGCTCAGATGATTCAAACGTTGCTGGAAGAGAATCTGTCTCCCAGACCGTTAGACATCTTCCAAAGAAATGTCAAAACCACCACCATTTTGAAAATCAAATGGCTGCCTCTACTCCTGCTGAGAAGTCTTGCCCAGAACTGCCTCCAGAAACTAGAGTCACCAACAGACAGGACTCTGACGCACTGCAGTCTTCATGTGATGATGCACTAAGTCTGGCTGGAAAATCTGCTGGTTGCTGCCTAGAACTTGAACAAAATGAAACAGAGGAAAATGCCTCTGTTGGTGACAACATTTCCTGTTGTGGCTGTGAGTCAGGTGTTTTCCATCCGAAAGATGCCGAAGATGGTTCAGTACATGACTTTGTTAAGGAAATCATTGGCATGGCTTCCACTGCCCTAAAAAGTAAATCTCAACCTGAAACTGAGGCAGCCGCTCCTACTTCATTAACTCAGATCAAGGAGAAAGTGTTAGAACATTCTCACCGGCCCATCCAGCTGAGAAAAGGGGACTTTTATTCCTACTTATCTCTCTCATCGCATGACAGTGATTGTGGGGAGGTCACCAATTACATAGAAGAGAAGAGCAACACTCCTTTGCCTCTGGACATGACTGACTCTGGCCTGGAAGACAGGGAAGACATTGAGTGCTTCTTTGAGGCCTGTGCTGAGGATGACCCTGATGGAGACGAGCCCTGTGCCTCCAGCCCTCCTCCAGATGAGCCTGCAGGTCACAGGGAGGCTGCAGTGCCATCACAAGCAGCGGCGGGCTCTCCTAGGTGCAGTGACATTTCTCTCTCAGCCGACGATGCAGACCTGGTGGCTCCTGCATGTCCTCCCCCTCAGAAAGGATCTGACATTGGAAAGGAAGTGGATGGTTTACCTCAAGCTTCCAATGTCTGTGGAGAAAGCTCACAGTCAGCTACTCCTCCAAGGCTGGGCGGTGAAAAAGAATGTTCAGAAAACCCAGGCGAGTCTGGGATGCCAGAGGAACATAAGGCTGCTTCGGCCAACTCGAGAGTCCCAGGGCTCTCCTCAAAGGCACAGCAGTCCAAAGACAAGGCTGCGTTGCTTCCCAACCCCAAAACTTTAACCTGTGAAGATCTCCTAAACCTTGATGAAGAACGACATAGAAATATGCATAGGTAGAATGTAACCTTCTCCAAGCATGAAAATCATCTCATTGAAAGGTACGTATAGTTCTCATGTTTTTAATGCATATTTAATATATTTTAGCATATATATATATATATATATATATATATATATATATATATATATATATATATATATATATATATATATATATATAATGAGTTTGAGTCATCAAATCCATGATAGGAGAAAATACGAGTTAGAATGGTCATGGCAGATATTTATCTGAAGAGGACATTTAGGTGGAAGAAATACCCCCACAATGCAAGCAACTGTGAAGCAAAAGAGGGGAAAACAGTCACAAATGACATTTTTATTTCTATTTTTTTTTAAATATTTTTATTGATTTTTTACAGAGAGGAAGGGAGAGGGATAGAGAGTTAGAAACATCGATGAGAGAGAGACATCGATTAGCTGCCTCCTGCACACCTCCTACTGGGTATGTCCCCGCAACCAAGGTACATGCCCTTGACCGGAATCGAACCTGGGACCCTTCAGTCCACAGGCCGACGCTCTATCCGCTGAGCCAAACCAGTTAGAGCACAAATGACATGTTTAGTGACATTAACTTGTTACATCATTCTGGCAAGAAGAATACAAAATTTGAGGAAGTAGCTGAATAATTTGGGGCCTTGAATTCTTCCATTGAGGGAGGAAAAATGGTTCTCCAAATTGCAATTACACCCTCTGACCCAAACCCATGCTCAGTGACCACTCCCCCTCTCAGGTTCCTGCACCAGAGCTGCCAGCTTCCTTCAGGGCCTGAAGATGAGCCATGATTAGGCTAAAGGCTGTGTCTCCTGGTCTGGGCCTTCCTTTTATGCTTCTGTCCAAAGTAACTGTCATCACATTTGCTTCCCCCGGGGAAGGCTGTGCTGTCACAGCTCCTACTCACAGCCAAGTCTGAGGACTCACACAGGCGGGGAAGGTTGATGTTAAAGAAGTGGCTTTTATTTATCTACACAGACTGAGAACAGTCCCAGAAAGCAAATGCAGAAAGAATAAGCAACAAGTTAATGGTGTTTTCATAAAAAACAGAATTTTTGAATTTTGCCGGAAGGTGACAGACTGGTTTCCATCAAATTTTTAAAGAAAGTCATTCCACTCTTTATGTTTAATAAGACAGCTATTGATTGATAATTCTGAGATGGTGATACAGTTCCAAAAGTAACACAAAAACACTGTCATTTCCCATTTCTAAGCCCGAGTGATGAATATACTATCTCAGTCAAGTTTCAAGAAAATTTGAGCTTTTACCAATGTGAGGTGCCAAGTGCCATCGCCACCCCCACCTGCAGCTTAATGTCGTAACCTAAACTTGTGCTATAGGAAATGAATTACAGAAGCAATCTACCCTAATTTGTTAACTTATTCAAATAACAGTTATTATACTTAACTATGCTAAAGATTATCTTTTTTGTGGCAGATTGTTTATTTTTTGATGAGCCTAATTACTGATTTTCTAAAAGTAATTTACATTTATTACAAATACATCTTTTAAAATGTGACAGATAAATGTTGTTCCCATAATGTATTATGAAAAAAGTTACTATTTAAAAACACATTATTTAATTTGAAAGATGAATGGCAAACATCATTATTTTTTTTTCCTGCAACACCTGTGCCCTAGGCTCATTAAAATGTGTGATTCTGTGGAGAGCTGCTAGAAATGAGGAGTGCGAGGGGGAATCTATACCATATATACACCCTAAAAATAAACTCAGTATGCAAAATTGGAGAAAGGCATCCTACTTACTAATATAGCTCAACTAATTTTCCATGTTTCAGACTCTTTACAATTGGCTGCAAATGAGAACAAAAGTGGGAGCGAGAGAGATAAATGTATTTCTGTGAAAGAGGTTCACCCTATCATCACATTCTCCATTGGTGTGCAGCACACTGACCCTGCCAGAGAGTAGCCACAATGCCATCAGCTACTGCCAAACAAGTTCTGTGAGAATTAGCGGTCCTGCTGGCTCAGCCAACCTCCGCAGAAGGGCTGGTAGAGCCTGGCTGACTTTTATCTCCGAGAGGGCATAAAAGCTGGGAAGCAACACCCCTTTGAGTCTGACACCATGTGACTGTGACCCTCAAGTCCCCAGTCATGCTGATCCAGAGCGGGAGGGGCTCTGGCACTGGAGAAACTCCAGGATGCGTCCTCCCTTTTGACCCCCAGGGCATTGCTTCTCTCCCTGACCTGGACACAGAATTGACATGAAATGTGAATGATAAGCAGCTCCATCTTTAGACCCGGGGAAGTGAATGTGCTGATGGGTCTGTGTGACCGTCGCATTCTACAGGCCGGGACCGTGTAAAACAATCAGCCAGCCCGCCTGCCAGTCAACAATATTTTGTTGAGCCCAGCGACGCGCTGCCTGGCCCTTTCCCAAGAAATGCGGAAGCAGCCAGATTTTACTCTCCAGAACTCACATCGCCCCCCCAAGTGACTCGTTATCAGCCTAGGGCCATTCAAATGGCCATATTTACAAGTCCTATGCAGTTTTTTTCAGAAGCATGTACACAGAACATCTGGATACCTACATTTTTTCACTAGTCATTAGCATGTGTACCTGGGTATAAAGATTTACTTATTGTTAGAATACTACCAACCAGGACAAGTTAATCTCAAAATCTTGACATGATTTCAGTGTTCAATGTCAGGAATGAATAGTGAAATTATTTGGTAAACATGGGGTTTCATGCCTATAAAAGCTTAACTGTTGTCATTGTTCTTCCTACAAGATTCAAAAGAGCAAAAGAAAAAGCTCTACTTTTTAAGCCATTTGAACACTATCAGTTGAACACTATCAGGATACTCAAATTTAACTTTAATTTTTTTTTTTTTTTTAAAAATAAGTTCTCAGATGATGAAATTATTATGGCATCTGGAAGAACTATAAGTGAGAATAATAGCAACACAATTTGCAACTGTAACATTTCTTTCCAAATATTTTTGAAGAGTTTTTTCATTTACTGTGTTCTAATTAAAACCCACTGAAACTGGGAGAAGTTTGAACATGATCTAACACAGTAGGCATTTGCACCAATTTTCAGGCACACTGCTGTGCTTTTCACTATTTTCATTTGTATGTCATGTTTCTATAAAAATAGATAAGTAAGTTATAACAAATAAAAAGAAAGGTAACTGAATAGATCCAGATATTTCTGTCTAATTTGGAGAAAGAAATACTGTATGTGTGGCGTGCCTCCCAGGACCTGCCCGAGGGTTGTACTTTGCACTAATCTTTTTGCTGCATTCTGACAGTTATTTCTTCATAATCCTCATTATAAGCCTCTGATATTTGGTGAGTGATTTAAACCTAAACTTTATGCAGGATAAATCCTGTGGTATAAAATTTTAAACCATCACATGCAGCCAGTATGCTCAAGTGTGCACATGTGCAGTAAAAAGTGCTGCTGCCCAGTTTTTACAAACTGAGGAAACTGTAAGAGCAAACTTTTCTCATGTATGCACCACACATTTTCATTCTATTAATCGGATTGACAGAAATGTTTAATGTGATCCGAAGCTGGCCAAGCAGGTTTAAGAGACTACTCTTGGTGACAGTACATTCATTTTTCACTAAACAGTACAGGTGTAATCTTATCAAATTTACCTTGGAAATCACTTCAAAAAATCAAGGTTCTGGTGTATGTGAAGTATTTTTTAAAATTATCCAAAAAAAGGAGACATATGTACTACTATTTGTAATGCTTTAAACAATAAAAAAAAAAAAGGTAAAAATTATCCAGCACTTCTGAATAACTAGGTTTGTCACGAAAAATAATGAAGATTTTATTGGGCATCACCCATCACACACACACACACACACACACACACACACCCCAGATCTGTGTCTCAGCCAATTTGGCCTGTCCCTTTCTAAGCGGGCCAAGTTAAAAGAATTGATTATCCAGAGAGGATTTAAATACCAGCGCTTATGGTAGTATGATCAGATTTGCCTCACCCAAGGATTCACTACTCAGTGACCAGATTTCAAATGACTCATGTCCTCAGCATTTGAACAATGCACTATGCTCTTTCTTGAGTCACTGCATTATTTTACTCTACCAAATTTCATCCCATCTGTTCTTGTCTGTCTCTCCCTGTTCTTAAACTTGCCTACTCTCCCAGATTTCCTGTGGCTCCAGCCAAACTATATTAGCTAGAGCTTTTCTGGCTCTTAAACAGGTTGTAAGGTTTTCGAGAAAGAGCAAGACAAAGAAAGAGAATGTGTAGTTCTAGAAGGACAATAAAGCAACCTGACATCAGAATTCAGAACTCAAACCCAGACAAGCAAAAGCCTGCTTTATTTGATCCGACGACCTTAAGTAATTGCATCCTGCATTGCCTAAACCTGGAATTTATTTGTTCCTCACATTCGATAGGTTGCTTTGAGCCACTTAAAAATAGGCAGAACCAATTGAGTTTGAAAGTGTATCAGAGCCATGAGATGCACAGAAATAATCGAGTCATTCTCATTTGTACAGTGCTGTCTGCACCTTAAATGAAATGCATTCGTATTTGAACTAGAAGCCCCACTTATATCCTTTCCTCATAAGAAGGGGCTGAAACATTTGGAATTATCACAATGTTATGAATATTTCACCACTACATAATAGTGGAATTGTTCAAATCCATTGTCACACATCCAGTCTCACTGGAGGAAGGATGAATGACTGTCAGTACTCTGCTGGTTCACTTGGCATTGGCAGCCTCAGATTTTCGTGGAGAGTTGATGCTCCCTGGAGTGTTTGAAACCAAGTTCACAAGCAAAAGAGTAGATGAGATCCAGCAGAAAAGTCAAACTTGATTTTTCTTTAAAACCATGTCTTAAAAAAAAATCAATGTATTTTTCACATTGATTCCGAGACATTTTTATCAGTAATGTGAAACGGGGGCTATTAAAATCATTTAATTTATGTATCCTTTTATTTCAGAGCATTAACAGTCCCAAAATGGCAGCCTTCAATGATTCCTCGAAGGTCTGGGTTTTACAGATGAAGCAGACATTTCTGAAACCTGTTTTTGTTTCTTGTAGATAAGCCCGGCTGCAACTCAGGGGTGGCCTCACACTCCCACCCCGGACGGGTCTCCGTTCCATCCCATCACTGCCGTCTGTTACACTGACCTCTCCCGAGACGATGCTTCCTTCCGAGTGCGGTTTGTCCACATGGCCTTGTGACCCTGACGCGTGCGCTGGCTCTCTGTAGGTGACTCTCCGAAGCTCCGCGAGCTGCTTGTTCTCCCATGGATTCCTGTCCCAAGCTACCTCTACCACCCCCTCTCCAGCAAGACTTTGGTTTGCCTTGTCCCCTCCCCATCTGCTCTTTAAAGCTCTGCAGCTCACCAATTTGATGGTCCATTAAATTCACCTGTCTGGAATGAGCCCCTGCCAGTACTTGACCAAGTTCATGTTTCAATAGGAAATTTCTTTGTAATGGTACGATGCCTATGTTTATTGAAAGAATTTTACCTAAAGGGGCAACATTTGATTTGATTGCAGCATAGAGAAGAAACGCTGGCTTTTCTTTCAAAATTAAGCAATTGTTAAAAGCTCCATTTTATTTATTTTATTTTTAAAATAATAATCTATGCAGCACTTCAAGAAACAACTAAATAGTGTTGTATATTATAGACTGGTGACGTTCTATTAAATTATGTACAACATTTTTGCTTTTCTTAATGCTTCTTGAGGTGGTAATGAGAAAAAAGTTTTTTAAAAAAGTGTGCCTTGCTGTATTTCTTATACCATTTATTAGAAAGCTGCTTTCATGGTAAAATTAGGTTGTTTTAAAAGGAGGAAATAGCAAGGTTAAGATGTGTGAATAATTTCTGTACATATGTATAACCAAGTACAAACATTGATGTATAATGACAGTATAAAATGCTTTCATGTTTGTGATGTCTAGTGATGTGGAAAATATAAGCCTTAAATCTATTAGATTGCATGGTAATTAAAATTGGCATAATAAACATAGATTATTAGGGAAAAAGGAAAAATTAGTGATCTCTTCTACCTGTGTTCTTTACCAAATTATTGTATCTGGTTCTGGAACAAATATTACATATAGCAGCTTCCAAAATATCTATATTGCATAAGAGGCTTAAAATTACTTAAACTAGAAGCTACACAATGAAGCCATCACAATTTTCAAGATTCTTCTGATTACTATAAAGATCTTGGAACACTAATGATTTACTTCCAGTTCCCCTAAACCAGTAAAAATATATCCTAGATTTTTTTTATTTCTACTTTTCATTAATGGTTTTAATGTCAGATTTCAGAATACTTAGTACATCTTATATTTATTTTATATAATTTTTGAATGGGTTTGATAGAAAGATAGTAGAAAAGTATAGAAAATTTGACTATTCTTTTTATTTAAATTATAGATTTCAAGTGTATTTATTTTGTGTAAAAGAAGTTAGCTAAAAATATTGTTTGGACTTTACTGCTCTTGTGAAAGGAAGTTTCTAGTTTTATTCTAACACCTACTCAAGTGCCTGACACAGTAGGTATTCAATAAAAATTTGTTGAATTGAAATATTGAATTAGGTAATATGATGACATTTATCTTTTCATTTTGAGAGAGGTACACTAAAACATGTAAACTAGAAAAATATCTAATGCAGTTAGAAAATCACATGTAATATATGGTTAATTTACATCAAATTTCAAAAAGAAATAATGTGTGGATTCACATAGTCAAAGAAATGACAATCATTCATTCAATTGAGAGTTTGTTAACACTGTTTATCTGCAAGGCACTATTCTAGATGCAGGGGATGCAATGCTAACTGAACAAAGGCTCTGCCCTCGGGAGGCTTACCTACATATGGATGAAGTGAGCACGCAAACTAGATTCAGTAGTGGTCCTGCAGGTGAGGAAAGAGCAAAGTGATGAAGAGGTACAAAGACGGAAGCAACCATGGACAAGGAGGAAGAAAAGGGCTAGAAGAGAGCAGAAAGTTAGATAGTAGAAAATTAGTGAAGCTTATTGCAGGGTAGTAGGAGAAAAGGTAAGTTGGGAGACTTTTAAAAAGTTATGATGGACCTTTGTATGTGCTATGCTAGGCAGTAAGGAAATTTTGTTGTCTTTGTTTTGAACCTGATATTGCTTATCATTAAAACTTTATTAGTAGCACACCAAGAACATTTAAAAATAGTAACCTATAATTCTAACACTTTAATAACTACTTGTATTTTTATGCCCCTTCTAATCTTTTCCGTGCATATTTCTAAAGTGATGAATCATTCTAGACTTTTGAATGGATAGTAATTCATTCACAAGGGGTGTTAGGCAGACATTTAGTTGCCGAGTTCAAGGTGATTACAGGGGAAGATATTGGAGATAAGTGTCTCATTAGGAGGTAGCTATAGAAAATAAGCTAGTCTTGAGAGGATAACAGATCACCGGGAGAGTGGCCTGGGATGTAGAGAAAAAAGTCCTAGTGTCCGAAATCCCTAAGAGCATTCTGGATTTCCCTTGAGGTGTGCTATAATTTTACACACTGAGACAACCTAAATTTTCCTTGGGTACTAACTATTGCCAAGTCTGCATCTCTTAGTAAAACATTCAAAGAACAAACAGGCCATGATGTTTTACTTACCTGTGATGTGCTCATTGAAGACATTGAGGTATTGAAAATATTTATTTATTAATAACCTGCTTAGGGTTAACACTGGATATATAGAATGACTTTCAGGTTTATGGTACAATGCTTTTTCAGGTTGGAAAGGACGGAATAGCCTCAATTTCTTGCTCTATTTAGGTGCTACCTTCTTAGTTACCCTTGAATGGTCACACCAGCTCTGCCTACACACTTCCAGTGGTTTATCATCTGCTAAGGCAAGCGTGTGTCTCTATTAAGAAGCTATTTCTTGGGTTGCTAAAATCTGCATAGTGACCCCCTACCCACCTTCAATTTTGTTCACTGGTCTTAATTCTTTCCTGCTAAGCTGCCCTAGAATTTCTACCCTTTATTTTTCATGGTAACCCTGGAGATAATTGAGACCAGTTACTCATCCTCTCCCAGCTGCTATGATTTCTGTTCTATAATTCCCTCAACAGCCCTTCATATGCCATGATTTTCATCTATTTCAACCTAATGTTAACAGACAGAATCCTTGAAACTGAGGAACTGTCTTCATCATCATACATGTAGAAAAGTATCTGAACATTTTAAGTGGTAAGTTTTCTCTAAAAATATATTGATATGTTTATTCTATTATTGTAAAATAAAATAAATAAATAAATAAATAAATAAATAAGCAAATAAATAAGAATCCATTACTTCCTTCAGTGGCCCAGTCAAGTGCCAGAGTTATCTTGAATGCTTACCTTACATCAAGTCCAAACCTAACCTGTTTCCTTATAAAGCAGGGTCTCCTTTCCATTTATTCATTTATTCATTCAGTCATTCAACAAACATTCATTGAGTGGCTACTTGTGTGAGGCACTGTGTTTGGCATTAGAGAGACAAAGGCTCCTGAAATGTGGTCGCTGCCTACAAAGGTTTACAGTTTTTCTTGTGAAAGTGCCTTTTATGTCCTTGAATAGAGTGATTTCTCCAAATTAAATGATGGCCCATTGATTTTGTTTCCTATCTAGTTTCTCTACATTTTAAAAACTCTAGTGAGCAAAATGGTATGCAGAGTTATGTGGCTCTGACTGCTAGAAGTAGTGTTTTTGTATTTGAAAGTTTGAATAACAGAAAAATATTTCAGGTTTCTGGTCACTTAATAAATATGTCTTATGCAACAACAGAACAATCTAAATTCAGTGCTTTTGAGACGTTAAGTTTGATGATTTTGTTGTGTTTGGTTTGTCTAGCTTAGAAGTTTTACCCATGCTATAATTCCAGGAAATAAATTAACTGAAAATTAGAAAACAGACTGAAATGATTTGGCTATTTTTTTATAAGTCAAATTGTTTTCATTTCCAAAGAAATTGGTATTATTTTAGAATTTTACTGAATAGTCTATAATTTTATATTTCAAATTTATTTTAACTTAAACCAACTAAATTTACGACTGTGTCTTTTTTCCCATATATACTTTTCCATTTTTTATTTTGAATAATTTTAGACCTATACAAAGGTTGAATGAGTAGTAAAATGATATTTGCATACTCATCAGTCATTTATTGCTACTGTTTACCACGTTTGCTTCATCTCTATACACACACTCTCACCTACACACTTTTTTATGTGATTGAACTATTTGAAATTATATTGCAAATCAGAACACTTCATCTGTAAATACTTCAGCATATATCATCTAAGAACAATGGCATTATTCTGTTAAGTCCATAGTACCATCCTCATGGCCAAGAAATGTAACTTTGATATAATAACATTTGATAATTCTTATTCAGATACCTTAATAATACCCTTTTAAAGTTGTTTTGTTTTAATCTATGATTCAAGCAAAGACCACACATTGCATTTAGGTTTTGTCTTTTTATTCCTGAATAGTTTCCCTGCACTTTAATTTTTTTTTTTTTTTTTTTTGGTCCTTCATAACTGACATTTCTGAAGCGTCCAGGCCAGGTTTATAGAATGACCAACAATCAGGCTGTGTTTAGTTGTTTTCTCATTATTCAACTCAGGGTATAAACTTTTTTGTCAAGTATAGCACATAAGTGATATTGTGTTCAATAGCTACTCTTTAATGAAGAGTGAATGACTCATTGACATTCTTGATGTGTCTTGAGGTTCACAACTTACTCTTATAGTTAATGCTTCATCAATCGAAGGCAGGGTCAGCAAACTACAGTTTGTCATTCAAATCTAGCCTACTGCTTATTTTTGTTTGGGCTCTGAGCTAAGAACGGTTTTTACATTTTTTAAATCATTGAAAAAATCAAAGGAATATTTCATAACATAAAAATTATGTAATATTCAAATTTCAGTGTCATTAATAAAGTTTTATTGGAACATAGCCACACCTATTTGTTTACATATTGTCTATGGCTGCTTTGCACTGTAACTGCAGAGTTAAATAATTGTGACAGAGACCATATAGCCTGCAAAGCCTAAAATATTTCTATTTTGCCCGTGACAAAAAGAGTTTTCCCATATCTGGTTTATGGTATTCTAAATTCTGACACCGTTTTCTTAGAGGTAGATAGGTTTCCATTTGCAAAATCAATGTAACATATTAGCACCTGTAATAACTATATTTTACTTTCTATATATGAGTTGGCAGTTTCTGTTTCATGTTACCTTAGTAAAATAAAGTGTGCTTTGTTTGATAAATTTAAAGATTGTTCCCACACCACAATTGGTTTAAGGATCTAAATTTAGTTTACTTAGTACAGCATGACTTTGATTGATTTTGAGGGTTAGTCAATTACAGACTAAGTCATTTGTTCAATCAAAACCATCATGAAAATTGACATAACCTAAATTCACTTCAATTCACCAATAAACTGGAATCCTTTCTCTAAATGTTTTTCTAAAGCAGTCCAATGAAATTTAAATTCAGGCCATTTCAAAGCCAGTTTTTCAAATGTATTTTTCAACCCCCCAAAAAAGCAAAACCTTGATCAAAGATTGTTTAAGATACACTTTCATTTTGTAAGTCTTTGTCACAAATAATCTGAATATGCCAAGGAAATCAGTAATTCTCACAGACCCTGCTGTGGCCACAGGTGGGCCCTCTTACTGAGTAGATGTTCAGAAGGTAACAGGCTTCTACCTTTTTCCATAGTTTATATTTGACAGCACTAGCACTCCCCCTGCCCCCCGCCACATGTCTAGAGAGGGGACACTCCAAGAAGGCATTTAGCCACTTCCACCTCCTTAAAGAGTAACAACACACCTTCCATATAACAATGCCTATTAATATGAGACTTTTCATGTATTTGCGCTTTCAGAGTAAAATAACAAAATGATGTGTGCAAGTCATCCCCACAATACTGAGGTTTCGGTGGGAAAGGCGTTTTGCCAGCGTCTTGAGATCATTCTGCCAGTGCCCTTGATTAATGGGCCCTCACCAAAGGGGACAATATGCAGAGTATTCGTACCTGTGTCTTAAAGTAAATCTGGGCCTGCATAAAGCAACCTTTCTGTCTCTTTTCTGTTTCAACACAAGCAACTTGGAAGATGTTCACATGTGTGAGACATTTCCAAGCTTTTGCCAGACATCAATAACAATTTCTAGTGAGGGAAGACTCACGGAGGGGATCTTAATGCACCGGGTGGAGTGGCATTGCTCAATGGGTAACTTTGATGCCAATCTAATTCATACTTAAACAAAAAATCTTTCCTGAAGACTGGCACTTTATTATTGGTTACACATCACTTGTGACATCATATTTTAGAACCACAATAAACCCTCGATTTTGCAGACCTTGATTTAACGGACTTTGGATTTAATGGACAAGATTTCCAGGTCATATGCCATATGTGAAAATTAACACCCTGTTAACTTTAAAATGCTTTAAACCAAGATTTTCTGATAGTTAAAGTAACAGATTATTTTCTGTTTTGTTATTAACTCACTGCTATTTTTAACAAATTTTAGCAAATAGGCCATATGTTGGAAAAAATATTGTAGTAATTTCCCCGACATTAATAAATATCTACAACTAGAGTCTACATATTTAAATCCAAGAATCACCACTCGTAAACAATGTCCGGCGCATGATTAGCACATGATCACATCCCAGTGCTAGGTAATTAGTTCTGTTGTCACAAGGCATGGCTATCTGCAGCAGTTTTAACCTGGGCCAGCAATTTTCCCAGGACACGTGCTAACCCCGCCCCAGCCGTGTGCATTTGTCTACTCACCATGACGGGTGAGTGCATGCATTTACTAAGCCTATTCAGTATAAATTTAAAATTACAGTAATACATGTAGAAAACTTTTCTATGAAATTAAATTTTTATACATATTTTAAATTACACAAACATGTCTACATAAGTACAAACAGGTAAATTAACTAAGTTAAAGTACACATTCAGAAAACCTACTTTATAATATAATGGACTTTCAGCTTTAACACACACCCTCGCCTGAATTAGTCTGTTATGTCGAGGTTTTACGGCACTGACATTGAGGCGTGTAGTGAACTGAAGTGCCCCGAACCTGGAAAGCTCTTCCAGAGAACAGGAGAACCAGCAGCCCTGGGCATGGAGGGACAGCCCAGACGTTCCACAACCAGGAAGAGCTCCGTCTTTCTGGTGAGTACATTTTCAGAAAAAAATAGTAAACTTAAGGGAAGCCAATGTAAAATTCAGCAGAACTTGGCCTCACATTAACAGTGGAGGAAAGGCTGATTCTGGTGATCTGGCCCAGGTGACTTCACCCCCTGCTGACCAAAGAGGCATAATGTATGGACCATCAGATTTTCCCAAATCGATGCAGAGCCTTCTTGCGTCTCTCTACCAGGTACTGTGGCACTGCTCTTTCCCCTTCTTCATTTATTTATGGGGAATTTGGACTAGGGTTACCAGATGTGAAATTTGGTATTTTTTTTTTCACACCATCAAGATGTAATAATATGTTTATTAATTTTTACATTTAATTTTTAAAAATTAATAAATATACAATTTGATAAGAAATGAAACTAAAATTATTAAAACATTTCTTTGTCCTCACACTTAACCTACCATTAAAAAACCCCACCAACTCCCTATAAACAAGTGGGCCATTGCAGGCATAAAACCAGTATTATTTGGCAAATTTTATTCAAGGACTAAAATGATTGAAGGAATATAAAAATGCATACAATCCTCTTTAAACCCAAATACTTTCTAATCACTGGTTTATAAAAAATTCTCTAAGATTTATAGAATTAGTCTGGTTCTATTAGTTGATCAAGTTACTTCCCCTCCATTTCAAAACAAATAATTCCCTCTGTGTGTGCATGTTTGCTCGCTTACAAATATGTTTCATTTATTTTAAAGTGTCTTTTTATATAAAAAATCCAACATGTTGAAATTTATCTAGTCATTAAAATAGTGTGAAAATTACATCAGTCTTCATATTGGTGCTCTTATCCCTGCTGATCTCAAATGACTGATGATGCTTACAACAAGGTTTTGTAAAATGAAAATTCCTTAACCGTTCAGGAAGCAATTTTTGTACATGGACAGATTTGCCTCTCTTCTAAATATTTTTTATTAGTGTTTTAAGTTCAGGCTTATTCTCTTACCAATGATGTCTTTCCATGAAAACTATATATAAAAATAATTTTTTAGAAAGTAAAATTACTGATTATTTATAGGTTAAGAGGTATTTTTATAGGAATGAGATAATATTTAATGGGTAATTGTTTTTTAAATGAAAAGAACAAACTCTCATTGGTTCAGAATGATTGAATACCAGAATATTCTTGTTCCCCTAAGAATCTCATTATTTAAGTCACCTGTGACTTAATGGCAACTCAAACATTTTTAAACAAAATTGAATCTTTGATGATGTGGCCTCACTATAGTAATTACCAATTATTGTATGATAAATAACTAAGTTATAGGAAATCAGGCTAAATTAGTAAACACACTTTGGATATTATTTTAAAAATCAATATAAATACTAAAATGAATCATGGTTCAATACTCTATAATTGGTGATACCCATTTTACCAATGGGCTAGAGAGGTAGCTGGTTATTAATTGCTTTCTTTTCATAAAAGCAGAGTGTGAAGGAATAAAAGCTGTTTCAGAAACTCATTTTCTATCTAGATAAATAAGGATTATTTTAGTGTTTACATATGTTGCTAAATTCCCTATCTGAACATTTAGATCATGCCAAAACTGAAGAAAGGACTTTAATTTTTAAAAGTATTTCTCATAGTAATTCTATAGGAAAAAAATGATAGCTAAATTAGCACTTGAAAAAGGCCAAAGAAAATTATATACTGTATATAATTATGTCTCATTATGACC